TCCTATTTCTGTCCGTTCCTCTGTCCGGTGGTCACGTAGACATTGGGTCACTCCCAGGTGCCGTGACCTCACTAACCTCATCTATCCTACTCTCTCAGCTCATGGCGAGCAAGTGGTGGCAGGAGGGCTGAGTTCATCTCAGGCTATGCATCTTTGCTCTCCCTCAGCTTTCTTGCTCTAACTGAGACCTGGATCACACCAGAAAACACCACCACACCCACAGCTCTGTCAGATGTGTACTCTGTCTCTCACACTCCCAGAGCTGCGAGGTGAGGTGGTGGTACTGGCCTGCTAATCTCCCCAAAATGGAAATACTCTCTTGTCTCTGTTCCACAGTTCTCCCCGTCCTCTTTCGAATTTCATGCTGTTACTGTCACTTATCCGGTCGAGCTCACTATTGCTGTTGTGTGTCGCCCACCAGGGCCTCTTGGTGAGTTCCTGGAGGAGCTCAACACATTAGTCTCGCACTTCTATGATGATGGCTCCGCACTCATCCTGCTTGGCGACTTCAACATCCAGACTGATGAGTTAGAACCTCTTCTTTCCTTCCTCTCCTTTGACCTTTACCACTCCTCATCTCCTCCTACCCACAAGGCAACCAGCTGGATCTTATCTCCACTAGACACTGTTCTACTGCTAACCTCTCTGTCACTCCCCTCCAGCTCTCTGACCACTATTTCATGTACTACTCCCTCTCCTCTCCCCCCTTACTTCCTCCACCTACCTACATGATTTCTATCCGTAGTCATCTCCGCTCCCTCTCCCCCGCTGATCTTTCCTCTTCTGTTACCTCGGCCCTCCCTGACCCTGAATCCTTCTCTCTCCTATCCCCTGATACTGCTACTGACCTTCTCCTCTCCACCCTTTCCTCTTCTTTGGACAACCTCTGTCCCTTCACCTCCAGGCCTGCACGGTCAACTCCACCTGCCCCATGGCTGTCAGACTCAGTGCGTACTGACAGACGGAGCCTAAGAGAGGCTGAGCGTAAATGGAGAAAAGGCAAACTCCCGGAGGACCTTCTTAACTTCCTATCTCTTCTTTCCACTTTTTCCTCCTCTCTATCTACTGCTAAAGCTGCTTTCTTCCACTCTAAAATCCTAACCTCTGCTTCGAATCCTGAAAAACTCTTCGAAACTTTCTCCTCACTCCTCCAACCCCCTCCCCCTCCTCCTACTTCCTCCCTTCTCCCTGATGATTTCGCCAACTTCTTTGACAAGAAAGTAAACAATATCAAATCCTCCTTCTCTCAGCCCCCCTCTCCCTGTCCACCCTCTCCAGCTCTTCCCCCTCAGCTCTCCCTCCCCTCTCCATGCCCCATCTTACCCTATCTTGCTCCCCTCTCCCCTAACGAGGTCCTCAACCTTGTTACATCTAACCACCCCACCACATGCTCCCTTGACCCGATCCCCTCCCCTCTTCTTCAGTCTATTGTGACTGAACTCCTTCCTTTCCTCACCCACCTCATCAACACATCTCTTGTTTCAGGATGCTTTCCCACGGCTTTCAAGACTGCCAGAGTCACCCCCCTTCTGAAGAAACATCACTTGACCCCTCTGATGTCAAGAACTTCAGACCGGTTTCTCTTCTACCCTTTCTATCCAAAACACTTGAACGTGCTGTCTTTAAATAACTGTCTTCCTATCTCCACCAGAACAATCTCTTGGACCCCCCACCAGTCCGGGTTCAAGGGTGGTCACTCGACAGAGACGGCCCTCCTTGCGGTGACAGAGTCCCTCTCTCCTCTGTCCTGATTCTCCTGGACCTGTCTGCGGCATTTGACACTGTGAACCACCAGATCCTCCTCTCCACCCTCGAGGGGATGGGTGTCTCAGGCTCTACACTCTCCCTGTTTGCATCCTACCTGACAGGTTGATCCTACCAGGTGACATGGAGGGGGGCCATGTCAGAACCACGCATGCTGACTACGGGGGTTCCACAAGGCTCAGTTCTGGGCCCCCTTCTCTTCTCGCTCTACACAACGTCTCTGGGTTCTGTTATTCGCTCGCATGACTTCTCTTACCATTGTTATGCCGATGACACCCAGGTGGTCTTGTCAATTCCCCCCAGTGACACTCAAGTGGAGGCACGCATCGCTGCATGCTTGGCTGAGATCTCGAAGTGGATGGCGACACACCACCTGAAGCTCAACCTGGACAAAACCAAGCTACTGTTCCTCCTGGGGAAGGGTTGCCTTCACCGAGACCTGTCTATCACCATTAATGATACCGTGGTGATGCGAAATCAGACTGCGAGGAATCTGGGTGTGACCCTAGATGACCAACTGTCGTTCTCAGCAAACATTGACGAGACGGCGCAGGTGCTCATCCAGGCTCTTGTCATCTCCCGCCTGCAACTACTACTGCAACTCACTACTTGGCAGAGCCCTGGCGTCAGCCATCAGACCTCTGGAGCTTGTCCAGAAAGCTGCAGCTCGTCTGGTGTTCAATCGCCCAAAGTTCTCCCATACAACTTCCCTTCTCCGTTCTCTCCACTGGCTCCCTGTAAGAGCTTGCATCCAGTTTAAGACTCTGGTGCTGGCCTACAGGGCAGTGAAAGGAACAGCTCCTTCCTATCTCCAGGCCATGGTCAAGCCCTACACCCCCGCCCGACCACTTCGCTCTGCTGCCTCGGGGTGATTGGTTGCCCTGTCGCTCAGAGGTCCCTGCGGCCGATTGACCCGGTCACAGCTTTTTTCTGCCCTGACCCCACAATGGTGGAATGAACTCCCCACTGACGTCAGGACAGCAGAGTCGCTGCCCATCTTTCGGCGCAGGCTGAAAACTCACCTCTTCAAGAAATACTACCCTGAGCCTTCCACTTAGCCCTTATTGTATTCGTATTAGTTTGTTGCACTTATTGTATTCGTATTAGTTTGTTTCTGTAGTTTTTCTCTGGTTTATGCTCTTAGATGCTTGTTTAAAAAAGGAGATGCACTTATGACTTCTGGTGACTAGTAGTTCTCTTGAATACCTATGTTGAATACACTTATTGTAAGTCTCTTTGGATAAAAGCGTCTGCTAAATGACTGTAATGTACTAGTAGTAGTAGTATCAGTGGTCAGTTACTTGGACTCAAGAAAAGGTTACATGTTCACCGAGTGTTTCATACCTGTAGAAGTAGTACTAATAGTACTAGTACAGTTGGACCAGGTGTTTCATACCAGTAGTAGTAGTAGTAGTAGTAGGCCTACTAGTACAGTTGGACCAGGTGTTTCATACCTGTAGTAGTACTAGTACAGTTGGACCAGGTGTTTCATACCTGTAGAAGTAGTACTCATAGTACTAGTAGTACTAGTACAGTTGGACCAGGTGTTTCATACCTGTAGAATTAGTACTAATAGTAGTGCTAATAGTAATAGTTGGACCAGGTGTTTCATACCTGAGCAGGACCTGAGCACCCTTTAGACCTTCAGAGCCCAGAGCTGCAGCTTCATGCAGAGCAGTGTTCTTCATCCTGAGGAGGAGGAGGGGAGTTTGAACATGTTCGTAGTCCTACTAGTACTAGTAGTACCAGTCATCATACACGCTGGTCTAGTGAGATCCAGATCCTGGTGATGTGGACCTCAGGTCTGGGTCATGTTGTCCTCACCGTCCGGACTGCTGGTCCACGTCGGCTCCTCGCTGCACTAAAACAGGAAGTGCGTCATGGTGACCGTTCACTACGGCAACCGCCAAAGCATGTCGGCCATCGCTGTCGCAGCAGGAAGGATCCGCCCCCTGGTGGTTAGTGAGGAAACAGACCAATTAGTGTGAACTGTGTCAGGTGACCAGGAAAAACACCAATAGTGTCGATCAATCAGGGAGCAGGTTTAAATCTCTCAGAGACTCGTACCTGATCCAGGAGCTGCTGGATGACACTGATCTGACCTCGTCCTGGACCAGGACCCAGCTCCTTCAGCAGCTGCACGTCCCTCACCTGGAACCAGGAGGACCAATCAGAGAGGAGCTTTTATCTGTCAGGTGAGTTCAGACCCAATGTGGAGAACGTCTGGTTTCTTACCGGAGGTCTGGGTCTCAGGTCTGGTTTGGGAGGATCACTGCCTGATCGTTCTGTGACGCTGCTCAGAGTCTCAGTCCGACCTGCAGGTCCGACGCCGTCCTCACCTGCCGGTTCCACTTGAGAACACACCTGACGTTCTTCTTCCCGTCCGGCCGACACGAAGCTGACGGTCAGGCTGACTTCCTGACGATCCTCCTGAATCACAGCAGAAACCATCTGAAGGAGAGCAGGAACACAAGACGTCACCTGACACACAGGAAGTAGAGCACAGCGCACCTGGTCAGGTGATCATGATCATGATCACCTGACCAGGTGAAGATGTTGAACACGTGTCTGAATCATTTAACTTCAAGTTACTACGAGGAACTTTTATTTTCTCTTGATGTTGGCGCCCTCTGTGGACTAAAGCGGTAGTGTTTCTTTATTTAATCCCACTGGTGATGTCACTGTACAGGTGAGGTGCGGGTGAGGTACAGGTGTGCAGGTGAGGTGTACACAAGTGAGGTGTGGGTGAGGTGTACAGGTGAGGTGCGGGTGAGGTACAGGTGAGGTGTCAATAAGGTACAGGTGAGGTGTGTCGTACCCGGCCCAGGCGAGGTTCTCCCAGCAGAGTCCTGAAGGGGGCATTGATCTGAGCGTAGCTCCTCAGGTGGGCACACAGGTGATCCAGCTGCTTCCTCCAGAAACCTGATGAAACGGACGGGTTAGAGTTCTAGTAGTATTATTTTAACTCTACCAGGACTGACGGTGGTCAGTAGCGGTACTAGTAGTAGTACTAGTAGTAGTACTAGTAGTAGTACTTTACCTCTACCAGGGCTGATGGCGGTCAGTAGTGGTACTAGTAGTAGTACTAGTAGTAGTACTTTACCTCTACCAGGGCTCACAGTGGTCAGCAGCGGTCGACGGTCTCTGGTTGCCTGCTGCTTGCTGAGTTGAAGTGTCCTCTGTTGTTCTTTCCTCTGAAGCTCAGTGGCTGATGGATAATAGAGTCCAACAGTCTGCGTGAACTGCTCAGCAGTGGGCGGGGCTAACTCTGTGCTGGGAGCAGGGCCGGAGGAGGGTGTGGCTTGCCAGGTTGCATCATGGGAAGTTTGGGCTGCTGCCTGCTCGCACAGAGAACGGTCTCTGTCGTGTTTTGTATGAATTAACTATAATATAACATGATGTCATGATGCAGCGTACCTGGTCGGTGGCGGCGCACCTGACAGGTCGCGTGATGTCACTGCAGGATGTGGTCGGGGCTTCCAGGAAGGCGCCGCAGGCTGCGCAGTAGAATGCGTACGGGTGTCCGCTCGCACCGCATCGCCAACAAACCACACAGCTGGCTGCATGACCGGGCTACAAGTAAACACAGGACTACATTTCCCACAATGCTTCACACTCACAAAGCCTGGTCACAAGGATAAACTGCTCACCTCGCTCCATCGATATGAATATAAATAGATAAAACTTAAATCAACAACAGACTGAGCTACAATGGGGCCACTGATGCTAACATTAGCTAGCAAGCTACCGTTAACTTCAGAGTACAAACGTACAAATTGTTTTCTGTGTTTAAAGTTAGCACCAAGACTGACCAAGAATCAGTGGGAAACTGTTAGCCTAGCCCCACCTTCCAACACGTATGTTGCTGATGGAAATGTAAAAGGGAGACAGTGTGGTTTTAGCAGCAGTTAGCATTGATGCTACCTGGATTCATCCAACCAGAGAGCTACAAACTAAATGATATTAAATCAGTAATAGCAGTGAAGCTAGCATTAGCAGTCGTTAAATGCTTTGAAGCGGCTTTAAAGTTGGTGGAAAGTCATCAGGGTTCTATCTTAATATTTTGCGACGGAATTTTATTTAAAACATAAGTTCTTTGTACAGCAAGCAAAAAGTGTAGCCATCTTGTTTAAGTTCACTCATTATTATTGGCTGGTCTGGTACGAGGCTACGCTAACTGCGTGAAGTATCGGCTCTATGCTAACTAACTAGCATTGAGCTTTAAAACTCTGAGCCTGAGCTAGCGCTACGTAGCCTCTGCTGGTTGATCTACTGTGGGTTAGTGTGAAATAAAATACTGGTGAAGGTGAAGGCTTTGGCTAGGCTATCAGTTTCCTCATGCTTCCAGTCTTCGTGCTAAGCTAGGCTATCCCAGAGCTAGCTATAGCAGAAACAGACAGACATGATGACACGATGGACTTCAGGTGAGTCTTCACCTTTGAGCCGCACCAGTCACAGAACCGGGCGTCACAACGGTTCAACCGTTTACACCTGGAGCAGTTCAACGTCCTGCAGTCGGCTGAGCGGACAGAGGGGGCGACATTCTGCAGCCGCTACCAACAGAGAGAGAAGGAGAAGTGTGTGTGTGTTACCGGCTGCACACGGCTCTCACAGGTCAAACATCTGGAGATGTGAGCTGGATTCCCACTGCCACAGCAAACACACATCACATGGTCCTGGACAGAAAACATACATCACAACTAACGTGTGTGTGTGTGTGTGTGTGTACCTGATGTTGTTGATGGATGGAGGCCTCACAGATTAAACAGGTCTGAGTGTTCACAGGAACCAGAGAGTTACAGAACACACAGCAGAGCATCTGAGAACACACACACACACACACACACACACACACACACACACACAGAAAGACAGACAGACAGTATCTTACTGAGGGACAGAATAACAGAAACAGCTGAGAGTAAAACCTTTGAGGTGAAAACAGCTGTTTGTGTTCGTCAGTGAGAGACAGACAGACAGACAGACAGACAGTAGTAGTACCTGTCCTCCCTCAGCAGGGGGCGGTCTCTGCTCAGGTAAACCAGGAAGTGAAGATCCACACTGAGCACAGAACCCAGAGAACGGGTCTGAAGGCAGGGGACCCAGACACTGAGCACACCTGGACAGATAGACAGGTACACAGACAGACAGTTTCATTAGTTTCTAAGATCACGACCTCCTGTTGGTTTTCCCAGCATGCTTTAATTTGTTATTGTCAACAGAAGAATATTGATGATACTTTGTGAGGTTCAGAGGAGCAGAACACATCACATACGTTTGTCTATGTGGTTTATGAGGACACAGTGTTCACTAGAAGTCAGAAGGTCTTAAAATATTCAGGAAACACAAGGAAACATGAGGAGGATTTAAACCGTTAGTGTTAGTGTTAGAGTTAGTGTCGTACCGCAGGAAGTCAATCTGTTGGTGGATTCTGGACGTCTGAGTGCTGCTCACCTGCTTCATTACACCTGAAGTCTGACAGGAAGTACCACAAAATAAAAGTCAAACACAGGAAGCACCACAAAATAAAAGTCTGTGGGGTTCAGTTTGGACGAGCTGCTGCTGGTTTGGTCTGTTTACCCCCGACTGGGAACGTTGGGAGGATCCAGGTGGTTGTGGTTTGGTGGGAGAGACCAGTTGACTGGTCAGGAAACGAGGACCTGGATGAGGAGAGTTTCCCATCATGATCGGCTCTAAAGGACAAAACGAATGAAGTGAAGTGATTATTCAGTAAATCAGTTCAGTTCTTAACAGAGCTTCATGTTTAGGTTGCTCTAAGCTAACAACATTATATTATTATATTATTAAACAGTAACAGTGTCACAGACCTGAGGGCCTCAGTGAAGAACCAGCAGAGTTGAACGAGGTTCCTTCAGACAAACGCTGAAATTAAAACTTTTAACATTATTAAAACAAGATCCTGTATTTGAAATGGCTGTTGGGAAATGGAGTCTTACCTGTTCATTCCTCTGCAGGAAGTTCTCCTCATTGTTTGAATCCACAAGTTCAACAGAGAAAACCTTCGTCACTGTGGAGCTGTCTCTGCCGTTTCTACAGAGAGACAGGGAGAGAGACAGACATGGAGAGAGACAGACAGGGAGAGTGAGAGAGAGACGGAGACAGAGAGAGAGAGAGAGAGAGACAGGGAGAGAGAGAGAGACAGGGAAAACAGACAGGGGGAGAGAGAGACAGACAGGGAGAGAGAGACATACAGGGAGAGAGAGAGACAGGGAAAACAGACAGGGAGAGAGAGAGAGAGAGAGAGAGAGAGAGAGACAGGGAAAACAGACAGATTGGGAGAGAGAGAGAGACAGGGAGAGAGACAGATAGGGAAGGAGAGAGACAGATAGGGAGAGAGAGAGACAGACATGGAGGGAAAGAGAGACAGAGAGGGAGAGAGAGACAGACAGGGAGAGAGGGAGAGAGAGACAGGGAGAGAGAGACAGGGAGAGAGAGAGAGACATACAGACAGACAGAGAAACTAGATCGGAGTCTTGAGTCACAGACGTCGGTGGAACAGAGGCCAGACAGGAAGTGACATCACAGCTGTGGTTGGGTCAGGTGACCGGTTACCTGGCGACAGCTATGGCTCTGACAGCCACTCGACCAGCAGGAAGCAGGATCGGACCGCCGTACTTCCTGCTGCTGCTGCCCGCTGACCCACGCGGCCACGCAGTCGGCTTAGACCCGTCCAGAGTGAAGAAGATCAGAACCTCAGGAGTGTCTAGTGGAGAATAACATGTATTATCTCTATAATACAGTAGTGATGCCTCTAGTGGACACTAAGAGAATAACATGTATTATCTCTATAATACAGCAGTGATGCCTCTAGTGGACACCAGGAGAACAACATGTATTATCTCTATAATACAGCAGTGATGCCTCTAGTGGACACCAGGAGAATAACATGTACTTGTACCTGACTGGATGGAGACGGGTGTGTTGGTGTCTATGTGGGTCTTGGCTCTGTGTGTCTCCAGGTGCATGATGGGAATGATGAGCGGAGCTGACACCGCTCCTGCTGTCATGGCGACGGCTGTCTGTCTGTCTGTCAACCAATCAAAAAGGTGCAGCTCATTTTAATGACTTTATATACTTCTGGTATTTAAATTTATAATAATAGTTTTATTTATTAATGGATTAATAATCTGTGAAGTAAGGTTAATAAATATATGTAGTGCAGTAAAAGTACAATAGTTTCTATAAATACTACTGTATTACTCAGACTGTGTATGAATACTACTATACTACTCACAGACTGTATAAATACTACTATACTACTCAGACTGTGTATGAATACTACTATACTACTCACAGACTGTATAGATACTACTATACTACTCAGACTGTATGAATACTACTATACTACTCACAGACTGTGTATAAATACTACTATACTACTCACACACTGTGTACAATTTGATTACATATTAGAGTAAAGTAATTCATAAATTCTTACTTCAGATTAAAGATCAAACGAAACCTTAGTTGAACTGCTGCTGACGCGTCACCATGGCAACGAGCTCCTCACAGGCACATTTTTTTTGTCAGTAACTTTATTGATACAAACAAATACTTCCACACAAAATAATCAGGCCATAAGAAGAGAACTGTGTACCTTTAAAGTTTTTTACACTATGTCTTAAATCAATAAAGAAAAGACGGTGAAGCTTTTTTTATTTTTATTTATCTCAACATGATTTATTAAGCAGGCAGTTTTCAGGACGACTAAGTCTGAGGACCCTGATGTAGCATGGCCGTCTGACACAACATTAGCTCACAGGCTAAAGTATTTATACAGGCTAAATAACAAGCTAACGGGCCAAATAATAAGTTAACAGGCTAAAGCAGCTCAGACAGCAAGTAAAGAAACATAATTTAAAATGTCGGAAGTCAAACTGAAGAAGGAGACAAACATTCTGGACGTCACGGAGCTCGAGAACAGGTCAGTCCGGTGAAGTTTCACTAATGTTTAGAACTAGCGCAGAACTCTACGTAGTTTTTAGCTAATTTAGTGTTTCCTCTATGTCATCACACTCACTGAAGGTATAAACTGTAAATAAACAAATTTAGTGAACCGGAGCGAGTTCGGCTCACAGACAACGACACTCACGGTACATATATATATATATATACATATACATATATATACATATACATATATATATATATATACATATACATATGTATGTGTATATATATATATATATATGTATGTATGTATGTATG